TCGTTAATTATAATTAACTAATTAATTAATTAAAGTAAAGCCGCGAAAAGAGAATTAGAGTAGCCTGCAGAAATTGGCAGGAGAACAAAGGAAAAGATTGCGTAGGTGGAAAAGTATCAGGATGGCAATTATATTTGCTAAAGAATTTGATAGGAATCGTGATTTCGTTCCCAGAGTCGAAATCACCGGCGCAAAATCGAGCAACGGTGCTTCTTACTTTCGCACGATAGATCGCTAAGAAAATGTAAAAAAATGCAAAAAACTTGGTGTATCGACCGCGGGAAAATGGGAAATTAAAAAGCTGCACGCCGGACTATCGTTCCTTTTACTTGCCCGGTTAGGAAGCTAACGGAAGTTTTTCTACTCGTTATTGTATGCGTGTATGCGTGTCCTGTTGCATTTGTTCATGTGTGTACATGTGTGTATGTGTGTGTGTGTGTGTGTTGCGTATGAGTAACGGTGAAGTTGTAACACGTCCTCTTATCGTAATAGATTTATCGATTCGGCGTTTACATGCCGTTCAGTTTTTGCGCTACATGGGAACGTTAACTTGTCGTTGAATTTACTGTCGGTCGGCAGGCTAGACCGTTAAGCAAACTTCAATTTGTTCTATGTGTTATAATTACAATCGGTAAGTATAAACGACGGCATGCGTGTTCTGTAATTATGTTGATGCGGCTAATTCGCACACTAAACCTATATGTCCCGTACGCATCCTCCTCCAGTTAATTACCTCGAGAAACCTCGTTAACAAATCGGTTCTTACTTTTCCTCCATCGCTGGTATTGTACCTGTTTCTCCCTTTTCTCTTTTTTCCTTTTCTTTTTTTTATCGTAGTCGGGTCATTTTGAGAACTTGTTATTTCCACTAACGAGTGTAATTATTTTCTAGTATTTCATTTTGACGCTAGAATTACCAGAGTTCTTTGAACAAGCAACTCGTAATTTTTCGTTGAAATTTTCTAGATTTATGTTTGTTTCCGTTTATTCAATTTTTCACATCTATCTCAACTTCTCTTCTACTCTTACGTTTTAGCTTCGTCGGTAGTTTTATAGCGTCCTAATCTTTCAGAAAAATTTTATAGATTAGGCTGTATGAATTTTTTTACGATTCGAGTAATTTTCAATTGCGTACTATAAACATTTTAATTTGTACCTTGATAGGTACAAACTGGCGTTAAAGGAAATCGTCTGACAAAGTGTTTTAAACGTAAAAAGGGCGTATAATTACTCGTAAGAGGAATACAAAAAGAAAGGGTGTATTTAATCGCGTTTATAATATATCAGTAGGTGGTTATAAACGGTTTTTGAATTACGGTTTTTATCTAATTTGAAATTCACCGAGCTCTCGGCAATCCTCGTGAACGTTGAAACGTAAGTGTGTTTTTGCACGGATGATAGCCGGTGGAGAAGCAGCGCGAAAATTGTCATACTCTCTCAGTGTGCACTTAATGAGCTTGAAAAGTATTTACGTGCCTAGCTCGACCCTCTCGTTAACGCGTTGTCGTTGCCGAGCAAATTTGCCAACTCGTCTGATCGTTAATGCGCTGCAAGACGCGCGTTACAGGTAATATCCGTTACTCTAGCGGACAGTAAAATTTCGAGAAACACTGGCAAGATTTTTTCCTCGTGCAAACGATAGACAAAAACCTAGGGAACAACGTCGCGATTATAAGAAACTTGACGGCAATCGATAAAAGGCTCTAGCGGGAATCCTAAAGTTAGAACCGTATATTAGGGTCATTTATGTCTGAACTACTTTTTCACATGTTTAATACGCTTAAAGATCCGTGAAACTTTACAAACTTTCCTTCGATTTTGTATTACAAATTGCAGCAGCAATTTCCAAAGAATTGCAAATTTTTCGTACCTATAACGCGATTACAAAGATACTATTTCAATTATCTAGGAATGTAAGGTTACCCAGTAGATTTCGCCATGGGAAAGCTACAGTCATTTTTTCTCAACTACATTCTTACATATTTAATGTACTACCACGAATCTTTCGAAACTTTCCTTCGGACCTATATTACAAACTATATACAAACGGTTTTCAAGGAATCGCCGACTTTTCGTACGTGCCGCACGATTCCACGCAAACAACCTTCTAATCCTAAATTCATCGTCGAAGTAGTTTGGTCGATCTGCTTGTCGAAAAACAGGCATCTAGAATCGCATAGCGCTGCATCGGGGTCAGCCGCGTCTGAACCATTTACAACGCGAACTAGTGCTCAATTTCACTTGGCCGTAGTAGGGATAAAGGAAGCAAAAGGAAGGCGAGATACGGATACAGTTTTAAGCGTAAAGCTGGTCCGGTTGGCGAAACACGCGTCGTTAAGAAGGGATGCGGAGGCGAGGCTCGGTGGGAGAAGTGGCCGAAGAGAAGAGGTAGAACGAAGTAACCCGAGCGAAGTGTGATCGTGCAGAAGAGAGCACGGTAGCCGTGCACGGTACGAGATTCGTCCTGTCGTTAGGACAGGTCATGTCACGGCACGCTCGGCGATTCATGCCCCTTTTGCCGGAGTTACCGCGCACTTTTCAAGTGGATCCTGCCCGTAGCCGTCGAACGACCGGCTCGCTGCCCTATCTCGAAAAA